GAGTGATGATGATCAGTAAGCAAATCTTGAGCATACCCCATCTTCGGATTCTCAAGATCAACACTCTGTGGGCACTTTTTAACTCAGAATCTTGGTACTGATGTTGATGTTCCGAGTACATCCAAACCATGACACAATCCAAGCCAAAACCGATCCGAGATAGTTTGTTCTCTGATGGTCCCGGTTTTGAAGTTGGTTAGTGAAATCATATTGGAGTTCTGGTTTACGGATTGCAAGATAGAGCTGGTTTGGGACATGTTTACCGGTTTAATTATGTACCGATCATATGGTTCAGTATCTTTGACGAACCAAGTAGAGTCAAACCATAGGGATCCGACAAAAGAACAACCACATTGGACTATAATCTTGCAACAGTAATAGAGATGATTTGAAAGATCTCTGAATTGGATTAATTGGAAGAACTAAAAGTGTGTTTATCCATAGTTGTACTAATACATTTCCTCAAGATGATGATGATGAATATAAATGCAGTTATAGGTCAAACCTCAAGTTCCATTTTCCTTTCATGTTTGCGTTGAGAGTCCAATTGTTTTCTCTAATCTGCATATAGGGGACCTGAAAGAGAGAGAGAGAAGCAACATTATAGTTCTGAAGAATTCAAGAAAATGGCGGCATAAACAATATAAAGAAGGTATTTTTGCGAGTTATATGGATGATCAATGATAATATGAAGCGAGTTCTTTCAATAAACAGATGTGAGCTTAAAGATCGACATATTTTAAACCACAAGAGTGAATTTTGGAAGAGTCAACATACTTCAGCTACGAGAAAGATACCTTCTCAAACATTTCGTAGCCAACTTTGATCCGTACATCCTGATCTTCCTTAAAATCCTTTATGTTCCAGGCAAATTCTGCAGCTCCTTTAGGGTTTTTCTGTCAGCACAAGATAAGAACAGTTTTGTCAATTTCAAGTATAATAAATCTTAGGCATAATACTCAGAGCATGAAACACAACTTCGACGAAAGTCTTGAGACAAAAAAAAAGTGAACCTGATTGAAGTCCTGATCAAAGTCACACCGCCCTTTAACATTAAAGGTCACAAGTCTATCAGTTCTCACAGGAAACTCTTTTTTCCCGCGTACAAGACACCGAAGCTTTTGTCGCTTGTCATAATGCAATCCTACTGCAAGGCCTGTTAAAGCCTAAGAGAAATTTGTAACACTATTTGTATTAGTCTACGGTGGAAAATGTTTCAGGACGAAAAGATAGAGGAAACAACAGAAACTGAAATCAAACCTCAGGGAAAAAGTGTCTAAGCATCGCACAGAAGTAACTCGGGGCACCAGTTCCAGTATCTAGCTCTCCATGAAGCTACCACCAAACAAACAAAACCATCAAAGACAATAAGAAATCTTCGTAACACAGATTATATATATACAAAAGACTGTCGCCAAAGCCAAATAACGAATACAAGTAACGAAATCAGGATTCAGGGAAAAGCCTTTGAACATTCCTTTGGGCAAATGAGCATCATAAGGAAGTAAAACCACTTACACATAATCTTATTCCTACACTAAATTACATTTTCTCAAAAACTCAGGCAAAATGTTTCGAAATGGTAATACAGAATCCCACAAGAACTTCAAGCAGAGGAAAAGGTGAGTGAGTGAGACACAAAAACCATTCCTCAACTTGGTTCCTGCAAAAACTCAATCTTAAAATTTGGAATAAATCACAAGAAAGCTGCCTAATTTTATCTTTAACCAGAAGTTCAAGCTTAAGGATAAAAACTGAAACTTTACACAAAACTCTTCACTTTTGTAAAATGCACATTAAATCAAATCTCAAGACCAATCTACCTCAAAACTAAACCCTTTTAAATCTCTAGAAGCT